TACAGATGGCAGTGAACTCTATTAAGTGCAAATCAACATCTCACCCATTGTCTCACATGCTGGTGACCCTCAATGGAATGTAAAACAGGCTATCTTAAAGAATGCTTCTAAATTAGAGCCGGCATGTATATTACACTAAACAACTGACTCACTTAGCTATCATTGCTTCCTGAGTGACATCTGACCATATAAAACGGAATCACCATCCAAAACTGAAATGAAGTAAAAGTGCTCAGGCTATCAGAAAATCTGCTAGAATTGGAGAGCCAGGAACAAAAACGGTCTGTTGTTTTGGTTGTATTTGTTATGTGGCAGAGAGACACTAGAGAAGACTAACCCAATTGGCACAGTGCACGTCACCTGCTGGCTGGATGTATTGTGTACCTCACTACAGATGTCACACAAACCAGGCTCCATGTGGTCCAAAGGACTGGGTTCAGCATCTTTCTACTAAAACACTTTCCACAGTGGATGCCTTTAAAAACTCACCAGTTATAGATTAGGAGCCTGGTCTAAAACTAACAGAAAGCCTTTTACTGATTTATTGAGCTTTTGATAAAGCCAAACATAGGAATCAGTCAATATCAGCAGTATTCCCTATACTTGTAAGAGAACACTTAGAATGCTGTAAATGCTGAACTCATATTATTAAGTGGGCCAAGGGACTGTCTGTGGAAACTAGAAAGTTTTGAAGGGTGACCACTCCCTGCCTGTGTTACACCTTTCACATGGCTAAGGCAACTCTGAAGTTTATGAAAGAGGAATATAAAAATACTCACAGGTCGATAGATCTTGTAAAGATAACCGACAGGGTAAGAAGAATGCACCCAAATGGACCAGTTTCAAACTGGAAGAAAAAAAAGTTCCACTTTATTTACATGTGTTTGTTTATTGAATATGCTTTTCAGCCCTCGCATAAGGAGATGCACCTCCAACTGAGGTCAATAAGACTCGTTCCCATTTACGTTATGGTCTGAATTTGGTCCTTCATCTTTTTCCAACATGGGATGCATCAGCGTCATATCCAAAACATTGTTTATACAGTTTTCTACGAAACATTAAATACTGAAAAAATAACAGCTGAACAATGACAAGTTTAATTTCCTCTCCATGCACCATACCTGATGAATATTCTGCTGAAGAAAAATGGTCAGATCTTCATATTTTGTGACACTATGTAGTATTAGCTGGAACAAAATGTAAAATAATGCAATTAAAATAGATAACAATAAGCTGGTATAAATCAAGCCTGAATTATTTAAGTAACCAAAACCTGAATGTTTGGCCAGATCCTCAGCTGGTGTAAATTGGATCGGATCCATTGAAACCCATGATGTTCACAACTCTCACTTTTTTCAGCAAAGTTACTAAAATGAGAGCGACAACATTGGTGAGGTAATATATGGTGGGGTATTATCTTACCTACCTTGTCTCGCTCATATTCTGGGACCAACATGACTACAACAACACTTACCAAAATAATATATTTTAAATCCTATTTTAGCTATAAAATTCCTATCTTCTGAGAGCTCTTTTAAAATGTTAGTTCCTGATATGTGAAATTTATTGCATGGAAGCTCATTATTAATTTAAGAATGATCTGTGGGAGGAAGGGTAATTCTTGGAACCAGCTTAGGAATACCAAATCATTGGAGATTTTTAAGAGCAGGTTAGACAAATACCTGTCAGGGATGGTCTAGATAACACTTAGTCCTGCCATGAGTGCAGGGGACTGGATTAGATGACCTCTCAAGGTCCCTTCCAGTCCTACAATTCTATTATTTCAACAGTGTCTGTTCTTTATCACTGATTTACACCCCTTGATTTTGAGGGGAGTAATAGTCTTGAGGCCAAAACATGGGACTCAGAGTCAGGAGAGATGGTTATATTTCTGGCTTCGCCATGGGCTTCCGGTGTGATTGTGGGAAAGCCCTTTTTCCCATTCTGTCTCAGTTTTGGGGGATAAAAATATTTCCCTAATTCACTGAGGTATTATTTGTAAGGCTTAATTCATTATTGCTTCATTGGATTATTAAAGCAATTTGAGATCTTCAGATGGAAAAAATGTATAAGTGGAAAGTATTTAGTTTCAATTAATTATTATTTATTATTCAAAAAAACAAAGGGCAAGGAATATTGTAGGAAGGACAAGAAGGGAAAATCAGGGTTTCTTTCTCTAACAGTGTTGTGAGGAGCTATGGAAGGATCCATTTCCAGTAACTAGAGGGGAAATTGCTATTATGTGGGGCCTGGGAGAGAAGAAGGAATGAAAGGAAAGGAAGAAGGAGGATGTCAGAAAGCCCAATTCCCATTAAAGGGTGCGGCAGTTTGGGAGCCAATTATGTCACTTCCTCTTTGATTCTCTTCTGACACTGGAGTAAAAAAAAAAAATTAGAGACAGGGGAGAATCAGGCCCATTGCACTTATATAAGTGAAGTTACAAAATATATTACAGGAAGATTACATATAAAACCTTACTGTTTCGAAGATTCCATCTGCTTTGTATTTTCCTGCTGGAGTGAACTGCTGCCTTCCTGAAGGCCTAAAGAGGAGAATTAAATGAAACAGCAGTTCACTTTAGAAGAACCAACAACACAACAAAGAGAAATCCATGGGCTGTAATGAATTGAAAGACTAAACCAAAAAAAAAGTGATGTTAAATAAAAGACCTTTGGCTTTTAATATTACTTTATCTGAGCTCTGATAGCCTTTAGATTTGTTTGCAATTGATCAGTTCATGTTTCTGTATCTAGAAAGAAGAAAGGTATAGATTGAAGAAGTTACTGACATTTTTCACTGCAACAAAATATAAGAATAATAATATTATAACAAAGTAGAACAGACATTCAAAGTCTCTTCTGAGATACCCATTGTAGTTTGAAAAAATTTAAAAATATAATTACAATAGTCGGTGAGCTGCTTTGGGAAAGTTCTACTTCTAGATTAATAGGAAGGAATTTTCATCAAAAACTGTCCCATTGAATTCAATGGGGCCAGGAATTCACCCTGAGATTTCTCTGACTATTAGGACAGGTAACTGCAGCGAGCATGTGCCCATTAGCAATAAACCCTTTCAGACTATACGGATAGATACTGTCCTTCATACATAGTGGTAGCTACTTAGGTGTATAAACAGAAACAATCATTTTATAAACACATGAGAATCTTACATGATAATTAAAAATGTTCCTCCCACTTACAGTGCAACCACAGCTTTTTCATTGCCCCCTGCACGCCATAAAATATCTGCAATAGCCAGAGTGAGGCATTTGGTCCTATGAGCATCTGAAGGCTGCAGACACCTGTTGTTTTTGGACATATGAGAAACAAGCAAAAATTGACACTATTAGTGAGGCAGCCTTGTAAAGGTGAACATCTCTTTCAGTGTGCACAGGTTCACAGCAGGTTTGGTATGTACAAAGGCCCAGATCCTCAAATGTATTTAGGCACCTAAATCCCATTGAAGTCAATGGGAGTTAAGCACTTAAATACCTTTGAGAATCCGAGACTAAATGACTAAAATCAATGAGTATAGTTGCCTTACATAGGACATGCTCTTTGCACTGTTGGTAGAACATGCCTTGTACACTATGCATGATACACACAAACATCTTTAATTCTGGGGGTTTGACTTTAAAGGATGGCCTCTGTTTTTTCATGATTCATTTACAATAGGGTTACCATATTTTAATAAAACAAAAGG